TCAATAAGCACTCTACTACCTAAGGTAACTTGAGTCTCTTCGTTGCAGCTCTTTTCTGAAAGAGGCTATGAGAGCATTTTAGAATACTTTGGTAGCAATGCAGAGAATGAACTGGAGACTATGGCATAACAACCGTTAGAAGGCGGCGGCAAGGCAACCGCTTAGAAAGCTTTACAAAAGCCCAACACATATTTTGGGTTAAAATAGGGACAAGTATAAGAAATTAGGAATGATATGAAATATCACAAGGGAGAATGTGCAGGACTGAGTGATGCTGGTAGTGAAAAGCAATTCCCAGGTTCCTGAAGGTTTCAAAAGGAAAGAGTGGTGCTATTCATACAGATAGGAAATCAAAAGAAAAAAATTGTTGCTGTTTATCTCCTACCCACTTTTTGGGGAGAGAAAGAGGCAGAGAACAGTTTTACACTGTACATGTTTGAAGTGCTATGAACTGTGAATCTAAGTGGTGATGTCCATCAGCAGTGATTTACAGGGGTCTAAAGTAGAGGCAAGAGCTCTAACCAGCAGCTAGGCTTTTAGGAATAAATACATTCAGTTGGTGTAATGGTTTTAAAACATGACAGAAAACTCGTCAGCTAATATTTATTTTAAATTAACATAACTAAAAACCATGCAAACTAAAAACTTAATCATCTTCAAAAACCACATTTCAAATCTCCTCCAGTTCTCTGTGGAGACTGAACAAACTTCTACAAGAGTATAATCCAAATGATCAGAAAAGATGGAGTTTATATTACTAATTCCTAGTGAGGTTTTACTTTTACTAAAAAAATCTAAGTTTAATGAAAAGATGCTCAATGTCACTAATCTTCAGAGAAATGCAAATTAAAACTGCAATCAGATACAATCTCACACCTATCAGAATGGCTATCATCAATAAATCAGCAAACAAGTGTTGGTGAGAACATGGAAAAACGTGAATCCTCCTGCATGGCTGGTAGAAATGCAGACTGGCATAGCCACAATGTAAAACAGTACGGAGGGTCCTCAAAAAAATTTAAAGTGGAACTGCCTTATGACCCAGCAATTCTACTTCTGGGTATATATATCTGAAGAAACCCAAAAAACTACCTTGAAAAGATATATGTTCCCCTATGTTCAATGCAGAGTTATTTACCATAGCCAAGATGTGGATAAATAAGTGGCAGTACATATACACAATGGAATATTATTACTTCACCATAAAAAAAAATGAATTCTTACCATTTGTGACAGGGCAGATAGACCTAGAGGATATTACACTAAGTGAAATAAGTCAGACAGAGAAAGACAAACACCGTATGATGCCACTTATATGTGGAATCTAAATAGCAAAATAAACAAACAAAACAAAAACAGGCTCATAGATACAGAGAACAAACTGACAGTTGCCAGAAGGGAGAGAGGTTGAGAAGATGAGTGAAAAGCGTGAAAGAATTAAGAAGTACAATTAGGTCATTGCAAAATAGTCAAGGAGATGTGAAATACAGCATAAGGAATAGAGTCAATAATATTGTAATAACTATGTATGGTGCCAGGTAGGTATTAAACTTATCAGGGGGATCACTTTATAAATGATATGATTGTCTAATCACTAGGCTGAATGCTAGAAACTAATATAAAAATAATACTTCATATCAACTATAACTGAAAATGAAGATTTAAAAATAAATGTAAAAAAGTCTACTTAAAAATAAATTTATTAATTAAGAGAAAGAAATCTAAGTTTACTCCATTTCCCTCATAAACTGTACACGGCTAATGTTAACAAAGGGAGGAAAAACATTAATAAGTCATGTGTTAGGCAGTGAACTTCACTACTGATATTTAAACTATAATAACAAGATTTTTTTAAAAACTTAATCACATAATTTACTAGCTCAGATATTCAACTTTACCTGCACTGTAAATGTTGGGTTTCTGTCCTACAATCTTTTCTTCTCTCATCCATACCCTTTGTCCCCAAAATCTATTACTTTGCACTCAGAACTTGATAAAGTGCTTAAACCACAAATCTGGCTACCTACTGGTCACCTACTTCTGGCTAAAGTAGAATCACTCAAACTCAACAAATTGAATTCCTCTTTCTAGACAAAAATAAAAATTCTACTCCTTCATATGGATCTCCACCTCAGTGTAAGGCACAAGCTAGAATCTAGATCTTAAACACAACTAGAACCTAGACCTTATCTTCAATGAACCCTCTCCCTAATCCCAAATCCACTGAAATCATCGAGTCTCATGAATTCTCGATACTCAAATCCAAACACAATATTACCATTTGCCTAGATTGCCCTCCTGATATTCCTGACTTTAGTCTTGATCTACACTTCAATCTACTCTCCTCACTGCAGCCAGAATGACCTTTTAAAAATACAATTCTGATCACTTAAGTCCTCTACTTTAAATCCTTCAGTAACTTATTTGGTAAATATTAAAATCACCATCAAAGCTGGTCACTCCAAGGAAGTTCAGCAGATCAATGAAATTTAGTTACATCTTCTTTTGTAGGTTCAGCACTAAAGAATCATCAGAAAATGTTTTCAAATCCTGAAACAGACTTAAAACATACATATAACATCTGATATATTTAAAAGAAAAGCATGCAGCACTCTTTGTAAAAGCTGACTGAAACTACCTCAAGACCACCAAAATGGAACACTATCATTCAGCCAGTAAGACACTACCATATGTACTGTTGTTGAATGATCTCTAGGATCTATTATTAAGTAGGGGATACAAAGCTATAAAGAGTGTACAGTATGCTTTAGTGTGTTTTAAGAATAAAAACGTGAAGGCCTGTACATGCTTGAAATACCACAGGGAGGAGGACACACACCAATATGGAAGTAGTGGTTGTCTCTAAAGAGTGAAAATGGGTCGTTGGAAGATAAAGAGAAACTTTTTACTGCATATTCTTTTGACCCCTTTAACTTTTGTATTATGTCTAGTTATTACCTATAGTTTTAAATATGATTTTTCCTCTCAGTTCCACACAAAATAAAAATTTTAAATGTACTAACTACTAAAACCTCTCTATATTTCATTCTTATAACAATGTTAAAATTATGCACTGATCATTTGGTGTAACATTACATTTCCTTCTTGACAGCTCAGGAGTTCAACTTCAACAAACGACTGATTCACTATTTTCGTTATTGCTGAGAAGACTTCTGGTAATGCCACCAGTGAACATTGCGTGATAATCCTACTTGCTCCTTGGAAAAGTAAGACAGCAGAATCAAGTAGCATAAATTTACTAAACTGGCATTAAATCTTTAGGGATTAAGGAAAGCTATAGATCTTACTCTTCCAGCAAATTCAAAATGAGCAAATCAAAACAAACAACCTCCTCAGCATCCTTCAAAACCAGTGCAAAAGGCCTGTAAAATCTGCAGGAAGATGAAGCAAATGCCACTACATGAAGACACAATTATATTCACTTTGTGGTATGTGAATATAATCCTTATAGAGGTCCCTAACATATCAGATCTGAACAACCTCACACGTTCTACAGAGGACATAAGATGAGAAGCAAGCTGTGTGACCTTATAACAGCACACACCCCCTGCCCTGGACTTCCATACTCCTCCCTCTCCCTGCCGTCCACAGCCACCAGACCAAACCCTTCAAACATGGGTGTCAGTTGGTCCCTCTTAAAGCCAACTAGGGAGAATACAACAGTAGGTTAAGCAAATATCCCTTCACCATTTCATGGCAAAGTCCTTTCAACCGAAGAAAGAATCATGACCAGGAAAAAAGATTACAAGGTTTGCTTAAGGAGAAGTGTGTGGGAGAGGAGGGGGGAAGTGGGGCGTCTAAAGTGTCTAAAGGCCTTACACAAGATCTATTGAGAGATAAGAGCATCACGAAAGAAACCATCTGAGAGCACAGCTGGGTAGGTAAAGCGCTAGTCGGCTGGGGGGGGGGGGGGGGACCTGGGATGGGGAGGTCCGCTGGGAAAGAGGGTGGACAGCAATGGATTTGCCCTGGAGCTGGGGGGTCGCAGCGGGTTAAGGGCGGCCGTGGCTGGATTTCAGAGGAACTGTGATCCAGTAAGCTCACGGGAGAATGCAACGTAGTCTGGAGGCTCCATTAAAGAGTCATAAAAGTCCGAGGAGGATAGTAAGGGGGTGTACTAAAGGCGGGGGGCCCGTGACAACCGCCGGGGCAGCTGAAGGACCGGAATGGTGTCTGGTCAATGGAGATACGATGGGTGGGGTCTACTGGGGAAAAGAAGCAGTGATCCGAAGTCTGGGAGGCTCCAGGGCAGACCCGTTCGTGGGGTGGCTCCGCCGGGGCGGAGCCGGGCGGCTCCGCCAGAGCCCAAAAGCGAGATTGAGACGTGGGCCGGGCCGGACGGCAGGGCCGCAGGACAGCTAGGGCGGGTCTTACCTCAGGCTTCGCCGCAGTGGCCGCCACAGCCCCTACTCAGTGACGGAAGCCGTCTCCCACCCTCGGTCCCAGGGTGAGGCCGGACGGGAGAGTAGAGGCCAAAGCCAGCAGGGGTCGGACGGTTCCGGGAGGGTGGGCCCAGCTGCCTCAGGGTCCGGGAGAGCGGCCGCCGCGCATCCCCCGCCCTGTCAGAAAGACTCCGCCCGGCCTGGGCAGGCACATCCCCCGCCGCACCCCGCCCAGAGACCACGCGTTGGACCTCTGCCTCCACCGCTGTCGCCGCCTCCGCCGGTGTCGCGGATGCCTGCGCCACCGACCCTCAAAGTCCCGGTTGGACTTCGAGCAGCGACCATGCACCGCCGCCGGGTCCTCAGTCGGCTCCCGAACCGCGCGTTCCCGACCCCGCGCACGCGGCCCCGCCCCGCGCGACTCGGCGGCAGACGAGCAGGCGCGCGCGCACTTACCTCCCACGCCCCCTACCGCCTGCTGGAGTCTGCCCGCCCGCACGTGACGCTACCCGAGAATTAAGAGCGTGCGCTTGCGCGGGCACACCCCATTCCGTGCGTCCCAGAAGGCCCCGCCCAAACTTTTTTCCTCACCTTACGGCAGAGCTGGAAACTGCCTCAGATTCTCCCTCTATTGGAGAGTACTGTCGCAAGGTTGGTTAGAAGTCTCCGGGTTTGCGACCAGACCTCTCGCTTTCCGGCCAATACAGAGGTTCCTGAAGGCTGGTGGAGGTGGTGAGGCCCCAGGCAGGTAAGAAACCGCCCGCCTGTCCACTTCGGTTTGTAGATCAATGTATCCCGGCTGGAGACCGTTTTGCTGCCCACTCAGAGCCGAAGTACCCATGCCCCCTTCCGAATTCTGGCGCCCGGTTCTCAGCGCGGCCCTCCTTAGCCCCCGCCCCTTTTCACAACACGCCCTCTCCCCGCCTCTCCCCGCCCCCGACCTGCTTCCTTAGTCCTCCTTTCCATTCATTCTCCCGACTTTTCACTGAGCGTTTTCCATGCCTTGGATTCCAGAAAGTCAGAAACGAATGAAATGGCCTCAGCTTTCTTAAATGCTGTGTTATGTGGAAGACGATGATAGAATCCGTAGTGGTAGTAAAGTAAAATTATAAGAGAAAAAAAAAAGCACAGGATGCTCTTTGAGCATAGAAGGGAGGCCCTCAATTGTGTAGAAGGACAGGAGGAAACCCTTTCCAGGGCGACCTTTGGGTCACTCTTAATGTGTTAGAAAGATAGTGAGCAGTAGTTGGTCAAAGAAGTAGGAGGGAGGAGGAGAAAAAAGTGACAGGCATATGATGATACTGGTCCGGAACAGTGAAGAGGAATAGCTGGTGGAAACTATACTGGTGTAGCGTGCACTTTAAGGAAGCGTCGTTGTAAAGGGTGAAAAGGATGAGGACCAAGAATATGGGCCGCAAGCATATTTTCTTTGAAGATGGGGGACTCTTAGTGTACCATGGAACCAAGAAGTGGGGAGTTCATGGGTTGAAAATGTCTAATTATAGGATCAAGAGCACTAATGGAACCCTTGTAGGGTGTTAGAATCATCTGGGAAGCTTTTAAAAAATAAAATAAAATCGGGCCTTCGCTAGGTAACTCGGTGGGTTAGAGCGTTGTCCCCGTACGCCAAGATAGTGAATTCAATCCAAGGTTGTGAATTCGATCACAGGAAGCAACCAATAAATGCATCGGTGAGTGGACCAGCAATACGATGTCTTGCGTGCTCTCTCTTAAACCAACTTTTAAAAATAAAAAATAAAATCAATGTTATTGCTCCACCCAAAACCAATTAAACAAACTCTGGGGTCCATACATCAGTGTTCTATCCTGAGGTGACTCTAATGCTTAGAGTTGAGAACCACTGAGCAAGAGAAAAGGAAAGGATGGGAAGGAACTAGAGAAGGACAGAAAGGTGTGGAGTTGGCTCTGTGACATTAGGATAGGAGTCATTTGATGAGAGTTGGGGATGCAATGGGAATCTTCAACAGTGATGAAAGTTTAGAGTAACTGCTCTGGGAAATGGAAAAAGAAGCCATTCCGGCCCTTGCCTTCAGCACAGTTCCATTGCTTTATTTTAATCAGGTCCCCTCGGTTACAGATTTCTTTCCTCTCCCTTTCCCTTACATTCAGGATTTGTTAGCTGGGGATCCAGCCTTAGAGCTCAGGAACATCCTAATTTTTATGCCTGAAAAGATCAGAACTGAGCCAATGTATGAAATGCAAAGACTGACTTGGCTCGCCCAGAGATTACTACACACAGTGCTTTCCAATTACACATTTCATCAATCTTGTAAGTTAAGAATGAGATATGAAGATATTAAAGGCCCTGGCCTCTGTGGCTTAGTTGGTTGGAGCATTCTTCCATAAACCAAAAGGTTACAGATTCAATCCCTGGTCAGGGCACATACCTAGGTTGCAAGTTCAATCCCCGGTTGGGGTGCATATGGCAGGGGGACAACCAATTGATGTTTCTCAAGTCAGTGCTTTTCTCCCTCTCTCTTTCACTTCCTCTAAAATCAATAAACATATTTTTTAAATATTTTTAAAAAATATTTAAGATACAGCCCTACTAGGATTTTATAGTATTAGAGAAAACACACCTTTAAAAGAACACACTTGACTGGCAGAGAAAGGCTATACAAAGCAAAGCCCAAGCCAGTGCAGGGCTACTATCTACTAACTAGGGTTAATCCAAAAACCTGTCTCTCTGCCTCCAGATGAGAGAGTCACTGTTGTATGGTGTGACTAAAGCATAGTATAGAGAAAAGGGGTGGGGCAGAGATAAAGATGATAAAGTGTAGCCTTGAAACCCATGCTAAAACATTTGGTTTATATACTATAAACAGTAGGTGTAAATAACAAAGGTAAAAAGAAAATAACCTCTTTTATGCCATTGACTTCTTTGACAGCCTGGCTGTGACCCCTATCTTAATGTTTTTAAATGTATAAAATGAAATACATGGAGATGAATGAAATCAATTTTTTCAAAGTTTTAAAAATGTTAAAACGAGTGTGTGATGTAGTTTTGTATGTGCTTCTTTGCACAATAAATACCATCTGGCAGCAGGTCTAATTGTGTAATTCCAAAATAACGATCAATATAAATTGTATTTTGAGATAACTGCAACAACTTTAATATGATGTGGAAATATCCCATTTTCTATTGGTGACAGAAGACAAAAGGACTGCTGATACTATTCTGGATTATTGCATATATTTATAGAAGAAAATGCCAAATTGCAGCTAGAGATTATTGAAAATAAAAATAAAATTTTATTTCCCAATCTAAGTCCATGGAACCCTTAAATTCTAGCCACATTCTGGCCCATGGATCCTAGATGTATAAGAAAGCTCACTCTAAGGATTTTAAGCAAGAGAATAATAGATCAGTCTGTGTGTCGGAGAGGTCCTAGAGCACTGTTCACTTTCCAACCTCTCTGTTGTCCACTGAAGTTGTGAACTGGCTAATTTCTTCAGTACTTCAGGGGCCACAGTTGCCTAGCAATTTAGGCCTGCTGGGTGAGCGAGCTTACAGTTGCCTATGTATTGATAGGAGGGCTACTGGGAAGTAAGTTGGGAAAAATAGGTTGGGGCTATTTTTGTGGAAATCACTGAATGCCAGGCTATAAGCTAGATTTGCTTTGGCCGATAATGGATAGGTGTGAAAATTTTGGGTGTAGAATAATGAAATTAGAGTTCTGTTTGAAACGTTAATCTAGCAAGTAAAGTGTATACAGCTTAAATCATCAGAACAGAAGATCGGAATGAAGAGACTCTACCTCTAAATAAATAATTGAATGATTTTTTAAGACTAAATTTTATTATAAAGTGATCTCTAAATGGTCTGCTAAATTACTTTATTTCCCCAATGTGGCTGGCTAGTCTGAAGAAACGTAGATTGGAATAAATAGCATACTTTTCAACAGGGATGTGTACACCAATGTGAAGATCAGTTAGCATTTTACATGATCAAGAGGCTATTCCTTTCTTTTGTATTATAATATGATAATATTAGCACTTCTGATAAGCAGTGGCTTTACTACATAGATTCGTTCCAAGATGTTGCCAAGGCTTCCTTGATTAAATTGAATCTACACCTACAGATCCTACATTTCTGACTTGATAAGGTCAAGGCTCCTTTCCTTGGCAATTTCTTAAACTTCCTAGATGAATACAATGAATTAGCAAACAAAAAGCAATTCCTCAAGGCCCAGAAAACCTATCTCTTTGGAAACTGGTGAATATCAGACCATTTAAAACTTAGTGCCCAAATCCCAGCTAGTCCCCAAATTGAGCACTTTTTAAAATATTATTCAACAAATTCAATTTGGGATCCAAGTATTACTAAATCATATGAGTAATGTAAAGTTACTTAACTTTCTGAACCAGATTCTCTAAGAGACTACATTCTTCAGCATGACTGGCCTGTATTAACTTTCTATCCATCTAACTACTAGAAATCATGTGAGTAGGAGTATGGTTCAAAATAGACTAAAAATCAGGTTTATGCAGAGGGTGAGTTTCATCTGTCCGTCCCCTTCTGGGTGGAAGGGGACGAATGGGTCTATTCTAAAGCAGAGAGAATATTTGAAACTTATGGGGGTTATAAAAATTTTTATTACTTACAGAAAATATCTGAAAGTTTCTCTTCCAGTTAAGTAGCTATCCCTTCTCACATTCACGTGCTATGAAAGCACTAGAACACAGTCCTGATACTAAAAATTGTCCTGATTACAGTTATTATTTTTGAACATCTGTAAGTTTAAAAACCTTAGGCCTGCCTTCCCTAAGAGCCAATGAAAAAATACTCTCTCAGAGTAGTGTGATAGTTTAAATTCCATCAAAACAATATCTTGGAGATTTCTGAGCTCATTTGGCTCTAATTTTCTCACTATTGATTATTGCAGCAATTTGACACTTTAGCAGCTAAAATAAGTAATTGCTGGAAATGTTTAGTCTGACTTACTAATGTATAATATAATTCAAACTTGGTCAGATAACTCACAGGTACTCATGTTAATTAACATTTAAAGACAAATTGCAAGGCAGAAAATTCTATATATCATAATTGGGTCCCCTCAGACCCTGTTTTCCTATCAGCACACTACTGTAAAACAAATTCATTATTTCTTTAATTCATTCATTAAATATTTACTGAGTTCCCACTATTTCCGAGCACATTTTTGAAACCCTTTAATTAGGACTTTGTAATAATTTACCTCTTAGCTATCTGTGAAAAAATAATTTACCAGGTTTTGAAATCTACAGGACAAAAAAGATTAAAAGATGATGGTGTTTTCATATTCTTTCAAGCAGTGTGTTTGCATGTAGCAAATATGTGCTGAATACAGGTGATTATTTATGAAATCTGGCAGATTACAACTTCACTCATCCACAACTTCTCAGCTTTTATGTGTTACTATGTATACGAAAATGCAATTCTGGTCATTTTATTAAATATTATCTTACTTAGACCTCTCATTAAATCAAATGGCCTCCACATATACCATCTTTAGAATCCTGCTCATTTTAATTTTGCAATTGTGTAAAATCATTTCTCAGAAAATTTTAAGCAAAACAAGCTCAGTTTGAGAAAAGTCTAGTGTTAACGCCGAGTTTATAGTAAGCAAAAACAAAAAAACAAAAAAACCTTGTGACACAATTATAGATGGAACCCTTGAAATAGTAATGGTAGACTGAGAATAAAGTTATTTTTATGGTCAATGACACATTAGCCATTGATAGCTC